GCTCTGCCACAGGCTAGGGGACATGCCGGTGTCCCTTGGGGAGACATGCTGTCACCAGGGGAAGGGTCAGCGCAGGGGCAGGGTGCAGCAGTGGGTTATCCTGCTCTGGGGCAAAGTGCAGCCCCAGCACCTTATAATGGAGCACAGCTCAGCTTATCAGCACCCTCCAAAGTACCCTGCGAGGGGACACTGATAGGGGACATCACAGCCAGGGGAGAGGGAGCCGGGCCACAGCTGCTTCCCATGACAGCAGCGAGCAGCCCCAGCTCCTCAGACCAAGGGGGTTTCTAGAGAGTCATATTTCTTCTGTATGGCCTCCAAATTTACAAGAGACCCCCTTCATCTGTCTGGCACTGCCTCCAGCTCCCCCCTGCAGAGTGCCACCAGCAAAGCCACTTGCCCAGTGCAGGACATCCCCATGGGCAGGTTGGCATCCCTGGAATCCCTTTCCAACCTTCCTGGGAAGGAAAGGAGCCTCGCTGTGCTTGGTCCTGCAGCTGGGCAGCACCCACCTTAAAACAGCCTCATGCTGGTTTGTTTCCCCCAGGCCCAAGCAGCAGTGGGCTGTGCTCGTTCTCTCCGAGGCAGCCAAGAAGCCGGGCCAGCACTCAGCAGACAAAGGTCCCTTGTTTCCCACTGAGTTCCCAGGAGGGGCTGGAGCTGCTCAGCATCTCCCGGGAGGTGGTGATGGGCGACCACTGCCGACCATTATGCCTCGGGAGTGTGGGAAGAAGCCATGGCAGCCACTCAAAGCTGGCTCAGGCCACCACCACCAGCTCTCCCCTGGGGCACCATGGGAAGAGAACACCATCCCCAGGGTCCCCAGAGCTCTCCTGCTGCCCCCTCAACCCTTCCCCATCCTTGGTGTGTCTGTCAGAGGTGGGACACACTGCTGGTCCCATGGCACGGGAGCTGGCCAAGCACTGTCATTTCTCCTGCAAAGTCAAACAGCTCCTGCACGAGCAGCTGGCGGGTCAGTAGTGTCCTCCAGCTGGGTACAGTGGTCCCCAAAAAGCCCAGCACCACTCTGCACTGCTACACACCCCTGTGCTACCAGCCTCACTGCCACCACAGCCACACGAACGCCGCAGGTGCTGCCAAGGCCACTGCCCTCCCTCCTGTACTGCAGGCCTGCAGTGCTGGACATTTCAAGAGCTGGATACAGGTGTCCCCATCCCAGAGCCACTGCGAGAGCAGCTGCCTCCCTGGCACACTGCAGCACACTCATCGCCCCGGCTGTGGCCAGGGACACCCCGGGGCTTGCACAGAGTGGCAGGGGCATGGCTGGGCACCGCTCCCTCATCACCTCTGTCACTGCTCACTGGGGACAGGCAAGGAGAGGGAGCTGGTCCGAAGGCTGCCCTGCCCCTGCACAGCTCGGACACTCCTCAGGCAGCTGCACACACAGGAATGACAGGGCAGGAGACAGGTAAATGCACCCAGAGGAGAACCTTCTCCCTCACCCTGCTCAGGGATGTGTGCTGCCAGGTCCCTACCCTGCTCTCCAGTGTTGCTCTGGCCCCAAATCCCATGGGAAGAGGCACCCAGCAGGGACTCCAGACACACTCCACAACTTGGGGCAAGTTTTTCCTGTTTTCCTCTGCCTGCAGAGAGACAGGGCAGCACAAACCGCCCACCGCCCTTTCCCTCCCTGGGAGCAAGGCCCACCACAGGTCCCACTCTGCTGTCGAGCGTCCTCTCCCCACGCCGTTTTATTCCAGCAGAAACCTTATTCTATGCAAATAAATCACCCCATTGCCCACAAACAGCAGCTCCTTCCAACCCCCTCCCTCACCAGGGCTGCACAGGGCTTTGCAACCTGTTTACCCGGACTTTAACCAGC